GAAAAGACCTCTCCCATATATTTGCCCAAGGTTAATATTGGTCGCACCCTGGGCGTTCTGCCGGTCGCATTTGCAAGAAACAGTTGCTTAGCCTTCCTTTCTGGAGGCATTCACAACAAATGCCCAAGCCATCGCAGCCGTGACTTCTCAATCTGAAGAAGCAAAGGCTGTATTCCAAGGCTCTTCCGGATGTCAGTGTTCCGGACCATGTCGAGACGCGTAAGGCCAGCGACTCGTCTAAGAAAACCCATTTCAGCAGCTTGCACCTGGATTCAAAGTTTTTCAGTGATTGTCCACGATTCATGATCGTAGGTAAGTATGGGGATAAAGATCGACTTGAATATTGAGAGCTTAGTTTTCAGACTGTAGTCACAATGGATGGGGCTAGTTCACGCAAAACGCCACTGGCTACTCCAATTCGCCGGTTGATCGCTTCCTCCAACTTTCTATCACTAGTAAATACAATTCCGAGGTACTTGAACTTCTCCACCTGCTGCACTGCCTCTACGTTATTCTGAAGAGAGCAACGGGCAGGAGAACGAGAAAGCACTAGGCTTTCCTAGAAGCGCTCACACGCATGCCGGTCACGTCGCACTCTGTTGTAAACCTTTCTAAGGAGCACCGAAGAAAAGTTTTAGATACTAATAAAACAAGGCCGTCTGCAAACAGCAACATTCTCGTCTTCACACCTCCTACACTGATGCACTTATCGCCTTGCCAGCTCCTGACTATTCTATCCATGTACAACACAAACAGGACAGGAGAAAAGAACGATGCCTTGGCGGAAACCAGTAGGAACGTCAAATGGTTTTGACTTAACGCCATTTACTCACGCAGGACCTAATATCAGAATACAGTGATTGGATGGCCTTTAACAGCTAGCCAGCTATCCCGTACGCTGGAAGGTATGACCTCAGACAGTTGAGTGGAATCCAGGAATAGGCTTATTCTAGGTCAACAAAACATGTTCACCGGGCGGGCGTACTCCAACGATTTCTCAACAATCCGGCGCAGGCAAATATACGGTCAGAGGTGCTTCGACCGGGCCGGAAGCCAAACTGCTCTACTTGCATCTTAAGGGCAGCCATATGGCGGCACCTTCTTTCGAGCACCTTTGCGTAGATTTTACCTGGGAGGCTCAATAATGTAATGCCTTTATAATTGGAACACTGCTTTTGGTCTCTGTAATTGAATACGTATACAATAACTCCCGTTCACCAGTCCACTGGCGCCTTTCCCGCAGTCACCGCAGTTTTACAAACAGGTGTAAC